GGCAATGTAGCTCTGGAAGTAATAGGCAATGAGATGTCAGATGGCCCAGAAGATGAGTTCCACCTGGTGGAGCTCAATGGTGGAGCATCTCTCTTTTTGTGAGGCTCCACCTACTGCCCTCACCTGGGTTGTGGAGKTCTCCTGAGCTCTCGTGGGGATCTCCTGGAGATTCMCCTCTAGAAGGAKGGAGGACAGTCCTATCCACACTGTCACCTGTGGGACAGCCTGGTGCAAGTGATTCCAAAACCATTTCCCATCTCTGTTGGCACTGGTCACTGAGAAATGAACTYRCATGTGCTGCCCTCGGTCCCTAGGACATCAYASAGATCTAACATCCTCGCAGCTCATCCCTTRGATCCCATGAAGCTCACAAGCAGAASACCAAGACCCCTTTCTGTTCAAKTATTKGAGATGAATCTTGGAAGAAAGGCCACACTTGGGGCAAATCACAGGGGAGATGCTCTTTTTTTACAGGAAAAGTTACAGTGCAGGCCCAGTTTGGCACGAGGGTGCCCAGGGCCTGGTCCTGCCTGAGAGCACAGAAATGCACCAGGAAGCACCATGTTCCAAGAGCCCTTAGGGCAAATATACATAAGAGAGCACAGCAGGACAGTGTGGAAATGAGGAGAAGAGCCTTGGAAAGAGAAAGCCCTGCTGCTGTCTGTGCACATGTTGCCAGGAAAGCTGCAGTCCCCATTGAAGGCAGCAGCAAGGAAATGCCTGTGGTGTCAGTGTGGGGATGGCCCTGAACAGCAGAGGTCTGTCCCCACAGGCTGCATCCAGAGTGTCTTCCCCTTCTGTGATGCCCCACTGTGAGTGTTGGAGCAGTGTAGAGGGAAGAGACAATGTAGCTATGACCCCCATGCGAGAGCATGTAAAAACACACCCAGAATGCAGCTAGGGGAGCTGGATTCTCCGAATGAATCAGTCCCCTGTCTTGACTCATCTAAGCCTCACTCTGTGCCCCTCAGCTTCCTTGGAGTCAGTGCTGGAAGAGGCACTGCACAGGGAAACTATCCTCACTGCATGGAGGACATCTGAGGTTGCTCAGACCAGTGAGCTTGGAGTTTCCCCACTCTTTGCTGGTGAAGGGGGAAGCCTGGTATCCTGCTTCAACATGGTCCCTGGTGCAGAGACAAATGAGAGATTCCTGTGGAGAACTGGCATGAAACAGAATATTATTTCTTCCTTTATAGGAACATAAGAGAACAAAAGCAAGAAGGAAATAAATGAATTTATTGGTGGCATTAGACAAATTGGATGAGTTTCCTGAGGGCATTCTTGAGCTCCTCATTCCTCAGGCTATAGATGAGGGGGTTCAGTGCTGGAGGCACCACCGAATACAGAACAGTCATCACCATATCCAGGACAGGGGAGGAGATGGAGGGGGGCTTCAGGTAGGCAAAAAATATAGTGATGATAAAAAGGGAGACCACAGCCAGGTGCGGGAGGCACATGGAAAAGGCTTTGTGCCGACCCTGCTCAGAGGGGATTCTCAGAACAGCTCTGAAGATCTGCACGTAGGACACCACAATGAAAAGGAAACAACCAAAGAGTGTAAAGGCAGCAGCTACAGTAACCCTGAGCTCCCTGAGGTAGGAGTGTGAGCAGGAGAGCTTGAGGATCTGGGGGATCTCACAGAAGAACTGATCCACCTCATTGCCTTGGCAGAGAGGAATGGAAAATGTATTCCCAGTCTGCAGAAGAGCGAAGAGAAACCCACTGGCCCAGGCAGCTCCTGCCATTTGGACACAAGCTCTGCTGCCCAGGAGGCTCCCATAGTGCAGGGGTCTGCAGATGGCCACAAAGCGGTCATACGCCATGACTGTGAGGAGATAAAACTCCCCTCCTACAAAGAAGACAAACAGGAAGACCTGGGCAGCACATGCCAAAAAGGAAATGGTCCTRGTGTCCCAGAGGGAGTTGGCCATGGATTTGGGGACAGTGGTGGAAATGGACGCCAGGTCAAGGACAGAGAGGTTGAGAAGGAAGAAGTACATGGGGGTGTGGAGGCGGTGGTCGCAGGCTATGGCTGTGATGATGAGGCCGTTGCCCACGAGGGCAGCCAGGTAGATGCCCAAGAAGAGGGAGAAGTGGAGGAGCTGCAGCTCCCGCCTGTCTGTGAATGCCAGGAGCAGGAACTCTTTGAAGGYGCTGCTGTTGGACATTTTGCTCCCTCATATCATTGGGGACTGCGCAAAGAGGAGAAGACATTGAGACATTAGGAGAGAATTTGTAAGAAGAAAGAAGAAAACAAAACAGCAGAGTGATCATTCATTTTTCATGTGTCATTCCCCTCCCTCCCCCCTCCAAATTAGCTCTTTTGTTTCCAAGAGACTCTTAGTGCACTTCCTTTGCTGGGACTTTGCACTGACAGAGTGTGCTGAGAGGAGCAGGGACCCCAGCTCCTGGGTTCCAGCARCCTCTGCTGCTGGGGGGGACTTAGAACTTGGATTGGAGGGGATGTGCCCAGACATTCACCATTTCTGTCAGGTGAAATGCACTCAACATGTGGATGGGCTTTTCAGCATCTTCCCTCCCGATTATGGAGAAAGASATTGAGGACAGACGTTTATGGAATTGTTCAATATTTCTGTTTGACCTGAGATGTACTTGTCACCCCTGGGGAGTGTTCCTCAAATTAGACCTCCTTGGCATTTCTACTCTGAGTCCAGAGAGGAAAGCATCCACCGTCACTATGTGCTGAATGGGGATATCTTATTTGTCTATTAGTCTATTTCCCACCTGTCCTGTGTTTGTGTCCTCTGTCCTGTGGTTGTGTCTTCTTGAGCTAGATGGTCATCTTCATAYGCTGCGCTAAAAGGAGACCAGGCCTTGCTGAGAGCAGAGCAGTTTCAAAGTGCCCATCTCCACATTTCTCACCCTGTCTCCAAACACCTAAGGGAGATCTCCACGCTCATGGCCAGAGACATGCAGGGCTCATTTCGGTTGCTCATGAACAGCCTCCCTCCACGACGTCCACACTCTTAGCATCTCTGCAGCTTCCTCACAGCTCTCTCGGATACCACAGATAGTCCATGAGAGAGCAGAGCCTGTCTGGAGGGCAGGTGGCAGCCCTGGCAGGACAACACAGGGAAGCAACTGAAGGCTCTTTAGCTCTGAAGATGGGCATTAAAGCAGCCCTGGGCACTGCTCTTTATGGAGCTGCACAGGACAGAAGGGGGCTTAGGAAACCTCACTCTCATCAGAGCCCTCTGTTCCACAGCTTGCAGCCTCAGTGTCTGAACTGCAGCTGAAAACACCCAATCCCATCAATACGAGAGCAGGAACAGGAGCAGCTTGAACAGGAAACCAGGGAAACCAGGAGCAGGACCCTGACACTGCTGGCAAGGCAGGCAAGGAGAGGCACACAGAGGTGTTCTGGAAGGCCTTCACCTTACTCAGCTGGGCGTGTGACGTTGCAGAGGGTGATATTACAGAGCAGTGACTCTCAGCCCCTCGATGGAGCAATAAGAAGTGAAGCCACAGCAGCAGGAGAGAWGCCCCAGGATATTGATGCAGGTCTGGCTGCAAAGGAGGCTGCTCCTGCCCTGCTCTTCCTTCTGCTTCCCTGCCCATCTCTGCTGCCTCCAGCCATCCCTCCATGTCACCCTCCATGTGCTCAACTTTGCCCTAAGAAAACCTCCTGGTCCTTGGCACTGTCCAGGGAGAGCTCTGTGGCCACAGGTCCTAAGGAGAAGGCCACATAAACTCCTTACAGGCTACCACGGTGATGTTGATGCTGCCTGTAGGCTAAGGTGGGGATGAAATGCCCTGATGAGTTTTCTCCCACAAATATTAATCTCCTGATTCCTTCTCAAAACAGAAAAAAAAAACTTTCCTTCATTCTTCCTTCCAAATGTAGGAAATTGAAAATTCCTCCTTCAGCACAGAGCTGAAGGAAATCTCCTTCCCTTTCCAGCAGTTTTTCTCATGCTCTTCCTCCTGAAAGGACCCCTCAAGCCTGCCCTTTGCAAGAGCCTGCTAGACCCTGAATAATCCAGGAGATAGTCTATTAAAAACCTAGTGCATAAGAACATGGACTGTGTGCAGAAGACCCTTCCAGGAAGCTCAGCAGTGTTGCCCTGMAGTCAGCAACTTACCATGTGAACAGCTGTGAAGATTTTGCCATGCAGTGAGTTCTGCTCTGCTCCCCTCACCCCAAACCACCGCTCACCCCTCTGCTGTGCGCAGCAGCAGGCAGTGCCCGCAGCCCTGCTGCTCTTGGCACAGCAGCTGCTCCTGCACAGTGTCTCTGGGCAGGGCTCACAGGTTGCCACGAGCTGCCTCTGTCCCAGGAGCCTGGTTCCGCTCAGGAGCAGAGGCCCAGCTGAACTCGCCAATTGCCCTGTCCCTTGTGCTCCCTCCTCCTGGGAAAAGTGCACCTCAATAAACTAAAATAATCACCTGTTGTCATTTCCTAATGAGTGGTGAGACATGGATTCCAACTTGGCAATTTATTGCCTCAAAGGCTGACTCTCTAAGAAAGTTGGAAATGTCCCATTCTGGAAGCCTCATTTTCCATCTCTTAACTAGACAGGAGACTGAGGAGTGGAGAAATCTCAAGTTCATTGACACCAGGTGCTGATTCAGAGATATCAATCTGGGCAGTAGCTGCCTAGGACTGAGTCTGAAGTCRTATTCAGATCCCTCCTGTAAACTCCGCAAACACATTGGTGGTGGGATTCCCCGTGCCAAAACCGAAGGCAGCAGAGCACAGAGATCTGCACATGAGCTCCCTGMATATGAGACCTGCATCATCCAAGAGCATGAGGAGGTGTCCAGGTGAGGAACTGCCTTGGCCATCGGAAATGACCCCAGATGCCAACTACAATGAGAGCCAACTACAATTTCCTGATGAAATARAGGCATGGGAAGATTATAGGATTAATCAGCAGCTTTTGTAATTCRTTGCAGAGCCTTGATTTGAGGGCATAGAAAAGTGCTGGAGAGGCCTTGTCAGATGCCTGGGGTGACCAGCACAACCACATGTCTCTAGCAGGTACAGCAGGGGACCTAAAGAACAACCATGTCCTCTAGCAGTGACTGCTGCACAGGGGCCCGAGGGCACCCTGCATTTCTGCCCTGTACCCAAACAAAGACATTCCAGCACTTGCCGTAGGGAAAGCCCATCCCGTCCACACACAGGGTGCTGCATGAAGGGGAGGCACCCCGACCTGGCCACGTCTCTGCTCCAGGCTCTGCCCCCTCAACCCCTTCTAGCTCTCCTCCCCTGAAGTGCTGGGCATCTCCTCACACGACACGAACAGGCAATGGGCTAATGAGGACTTCTGGGTGGCTGCATCAAAGGCTCTCAAGAAACATCTTCGGGGCACCTTGTTCTTCCGTAACCAACGTCAGGTGCAAGCAGAGAGTTCCTGTTGGGCTGCTTTGTCTGAGGGGAAGTGCCCATGGCCAGGAATCCCTGTCCCTTCGCTGGGGGAGCTCCTGCCAGGCTATCCTGGCCCAGGGCTCCTTCCCACCATCCTGGTGCTCTCCATGTGGGTCCCATCCCTGCCGCCCACCTCTCCCTCCAGCCCCACCACTCACCTCCCTCCTGCGCTCCAGGGATCCCGTCCATGAATGAGGTGCCGGCGTTTGCCGGTTGCTCCTTCTCCATCCCCAGCACTCGTTCAGGAGACATTCCTGCCTGGCCAGCGCCTTTCTGGTCTGTCCTCTGCACAGACAGATGCGTCCCCACACTCTGTGTCACAGCCCGGTCCTCTGATCAGCTGCTCCCACTGAGGGGACCTCCCAGACCCTTGGCTGGTGCTGCTCCTGCTGCCGGGCAATCGCGCACGGGGACAGAAGTGACTTCACAATGTGCCCGGAACCTTCAGCTGGCTCTGGCCTGTCAGCAGCAGGGACAGAGGTGACGTGACAAGAAACCTCAGCAACCCAGACCCTGCTGATGACATCAAGTCTACAGAGAAGGATGTGACCTCAGAGTTACGATCAGAGCCATATCCCTGCTGCTGGCCTATCAGGGACTGGCACAGTAGTGACCTCATCACCAACATCCAGGTCACGTGTGATGCGAGGGAGCGTCCGGAGTCAGAGACGCAGTCTCATAGAGATTAAGTCAATGCTCTGTTTATTGAAGATTCCAACACACTTTTATACAGTAAACTGTAAGCCACACCCCTGACCAATCATGATTTTACACACTCTCCTCTCGCCTCTGTCTCGCAACTGTCTTCGGGGCTGGCATCCAATCCCTTTTTAGTTTACCTATAAGGTTCCAGATACAATACCTTTTATGCCTAAAAACAAGTGCGCCACAGCTACTCTCCAATCAGCTTCATGGTCACACAGCAGCCGGACAGCTGCCTTTGTTTTCGATCCGCTGATGGAACAAGTACACTGTCGGCCTTCAAGTTAGTTATCTACTAACAAGGCATCCTGCCTGCTAATAGGCACTGTACGGCCATCCTTGGAGCGGGCCCCAACAGGTCACTGGTAGGACACCTGAGATGCCCTGGGATTTTTGTCCGGAAATGACTCAAAAGGGACATGTCTTCCCATAGATTCCATGCTGTGTGTCCTGGAGGAGATATTTGGGTATGCTGGACAATGGAGGCATCTGACTTGTCCCTGCAGCCTGTTTCTATGTCAGTGAATCAGATAACTGCAATGAAATGTATTAGCTTTTTACACTGTAAAGATCTGCCAGGATCTCAGCTTTATACTGCAAGATGCTCCGGTTGCAATGGAAGAGGTCATTTGAGATGGCCAAGGAAATTCCCCACCTGGCCTTCTCCTGAAGATCCATGAGGATGTGGGTCTCACATTTGCTCCATGACAGCAAGTAAAGAGAGGCAACTTTGTGGTATCTCCTATGTCTCTTCAAACAGGTATTTGGGTGTTGTCTGCTGACTCACACCCTTCATCACCAGCGATTACAAGGGGAGCTTAGAGAAGGAGCTCCCATGCACATGTCAGTGCTGTGCACACTTCAGTGCAGGTGAGCAGCATCCCACCTTCTGTGTGTTTGTGGAGTTCACAGGAGGAATGTGAAAGCCATCCCAGAGCAGGGGCTTGTGAACCAGCACGGAATGCCCAGATTGACGCATCTGAATCCATAAGGTCCCTTCTTGCCTGTTTCTCAGTGTGCTGCCTAATAGGGTCTTCCTAAGCAGGGCCTTGCAGAGTGGGACATTTCTAACTT